TCTATTTGTTTTTTTCAATAATGTTGATTAAAAGAAAAAATTTTAAAAGATATTAATTTAAAAAATAATATTTAAAATATAAATATTAAATAATAATCTAAACCCAAAGTAATTCTAGTACTACCAAAAGAATAATAATTATTTGTTTATTTAACAATGAAATAAATCTAAAAACTACTCAAAAGCAAAATATATCATATATCATTTATATTAACTTTCTCATGGCCCTGGCCACAATTTTCTTTTTGTATTTGATAAACATTCCAGTAGCTTAGATTAAAAAAGAGATAAAATAGATAAAAGTTGTTTTTTTATTATGCCATCAAAATAAACTTTGAATTGCATTTTCATACCCACATTTTTGTTCCTTTCTCAAGCGGTTTTGATATGTTGATTCCACACCGACAACAAATTGACTTCGTGCTCTTAATTTGCTGGAAAATGTCGATGAAAGTATACGGCAGTTTGAGATTAACTTAAATCACCTTCTACTATAAGTATCGAAAGTTCAGGGATAAAACTAGTATTTAAGTCTTATAGTAAATTTTACAACAATCTCAAATTGTTTTTGCTTGATCTGCATGTGTTCATGATTTATAAAGATATTTTTGTCTTTTACACTATGGATTGAAGATTTTTGTGTAGAATTAAAAACTCAACTGCAAAACAAATACCAAAGTGTCTTGAATTGAAACCATTTTTTCTTTCCATTCGGGTTCTCCAAGAAAAAAAAAATGATCTATATGATTGGAAAATTCATGATAATTGATTTGATGAGGAAGAACCGAGAAGAAAATTAAAACAAACTCCAAAAATTCATTAGGAAAAATAAATGAGTTGCAAGACTTAACTACCATTACAAAAACGTTGGCAGTTTATTATGTGTTTATCTCAATTTGATAATAGGAAGAATACCATCTTAGTTTTCAGATAGATCCTATATCTCAGAGTTTAATATATGTTCTCACTCATTACAATTTAATTTACTACTCAAGAAACCACCAACAATTTTTACATTAAATGGCAATCCTTTGCATTTTTTAACGATTTCTCACTAACCGCCTTTAGATCTAGATGAGCAACAAGGTTCTCAGTTCTTAATGCAAGTCACGCCAATAATGACAAACATGCATCATCTGGTAGCAATAAGTCTTCATCCTCCTCTGCAATGTATGCCTATCCACATGCCAGAAACACCAATTTGAGATTCTTCTTTTAATACATCACTTAAAAGGTATTGATAGATTCGTTCAAACTGCCAAAACAAAAGCAAAAATATATATATTAACATTTCATAATCAAATTTCCAAAAGTCCAATCTCTAGAAATGGAATATGTTCTCATTCTTCATCAAAGGTCATGTGGGTCTAGTATGATTTTGCAGATTTTGCTGCCATAACGCAATACACCAATCCATTCTTTGGCATTTGTTGTTGATCATGCAGCTGCTAGTCTTTCTACTTTTAAAATATGCATTAAAACAATAAAAACAGCATAATGATAAGCATAGACAGAACAAAATAAAGTTATCATCATGATCTATCCAATTCAGATAATGAAATAAGTAAACATACATTCACAGAAAATTTAAACCAGATCAAAAAAGTTACCATCAAGCTCAAATTCCAATTAAATACTGCTTTAAAATGCCAAAATCTTCAAGTTCCTACTAAAATAAATGATTCTGATGGGACACAAGTGAGCTTTCTTGCTCAATGTTGTGCTCCCTTATTGTTAAGTGAGAAATCAATCTTGTGAACTTAAATACAATTTGTGCGACTACCAAACTCAGAATACAAAAATGAAATGGCAGATCAACTAATCTTTGTCTCTTCCAAAGCATAAAAGCAGAGGTCATAAGGTCACAAGCGAATGTAGGAGAAAATTGAGTTACTCTCTCCAAGAGGAAAATTTACTACAGAGGACACGCTGGTCAAATCTCAAAATGTTGGGAGCCTGGGACAGCAACTTTCTAATCTGCAGCAATCAAACTTTTTTCATTTGAAGGAGGCTCAAGCTTCTTAACAAAAGGTACCCCTCAGATACTCTGCAAGAAAAAATGAATCATTACTTGATAAGAATAGCATTTCAGCTGACATATCTGATATCCTGAACAAACATTGTGTGGAAAAAAAGCAACCACTGATATCATTATTACCTTTTTCTTGACTCAGCCAAGTTGATAAACACTTGCAATTCAAATTAGAAACTCTTGCAGAAGGGCATGCTTGAGCTTGACAAAATCAGGTCACAAGCTTGTCAATTGTCATTGTCTTTATCTCAACAATAGCTTGACAAAGGAAAAACAATTTCTTAAAAAAATGCAAAGAGAGAAAACTTACAAGGTATCTAGAGGACTAAACTGTATTGTTTTTGTTATTTGCATTTGAAGCACAATCTAGTTACAAGCTTGGCAATATCACCACAGACTATAACCTTTCCACTTCCAGTTTCAAGAAAAATCCCATTCGAATGTGCTGTTCTATATGCCCTTCCAATTTCTTCAAAATGGAAAGAAAGAAAAAATAAATATATATGCAAGATTTTGCAAGAATTTACTACAGATTTTTTTTTTTAATGTTTTGTTCAGTAATTTACCATATAGATGAGAGTCAAATGGGAAAACAATAAAATTTTAAAATACCTCAACATTAAATTAATAAAATTTGTTACAAAAGAGCTTTCTTAAAATGTCTGGTGTAGCAACTTTATAATTTCATTTCCATTGAAAGGAGGGTTAAACTGCTTTATAACAAAAGGAATCTATTTGCAAGAAAAATGAAACCTATTTCTTGATAATAAACAGCAGTTCAGTTAACATATCTAATGTCTTAAAATCACCGTTACCATTTTTTAACTAACTCAGCCTCGCCGAAAGAAACTTGCAATTTTGAAATGCACAATAAGTCTTCCTTCCAGCAAGAAGAAACTTTTGCAGAAGAGCATGCTCTGAGCCAGAAAGAATAAGATTACAAGCTTGTAAGATGTCAATATTTTCATATAGATTCTTAGCCTAAACAACAAAAAACAAGTTCCCAAAAATGTAAAGAGAGAAATCATACAATGTGTCTATAAGACTGATTTGTATTGATTTTGTTATTTGCATTTCAAGTACAACTCTGCTACAAGCTTAGCAATATCTCCACAGATTATAACTTTTTCCTATTCTAGATTGTAGAAAAATCCCCTTAGAATGTCTTGCCTTTTGCCTCCAATTTATTTAGAATAGAAAGAAAGAAAAAAGAAACAAGGTACTTGAAGCTAGGAAAAGGATTCCAACTTCCAAAAATTAATCATATCTCAGAACATACCTTTC